AGAAGAGGAGACCAGAAACGAGGGGTTAGTTTAAGGGCGGGTGTTATGATAATGCGTTAGGGGGATTCACTTCAGTGTCTTTAGCGGTAGCCGTGTTTGGTAGGAGGAGACGCAGGGTCAGTACTGATGTCACACCTGAGGCGGGTGTGGTGGCTCTGTAACCTTCATTAGCAGCACCTGCGGAGGAGCCGGCGGAAATTGGTTTCGAGTCGAAGAGACGCCACGAGGGAGACGCGAGGACGCAAGACACCTGAGAGACTGAATCTGAAGTAACGTTTGTTTCAACACTTCACATGTTCTTTTTACACATGAACTAAACTGATATGAAAGAGAGGGCTGGCGGAGGAGATCGTACCCAAGTGGCTCTGTGGATCGGGCTGTCCGAGTGAGCTGGTCGCGGCACGTACGAGGATCTTTGGGGTGAGTCACCTACACGCACCCCTCAAACAGACAGGACAGTTGCACACACATTCAGGTAAGGCAGGATACACCTTCACGTTTACGCAACACGTAGGGAGAGGCATTAAGTTACGGGCTCAATGGCCTTAGCGTTAGGTGCTAGGGTAGCATTTAGCTGTGGGGCTGTGAAGCCCTCGTAACAGCGGGGCTAACTGTGATTGACAAGCTGCAACCATGGTGACCTGAAAAATATCTCCTTCAGTGTTTTCAAAGACACCCTTATCAGATAAATACATTTTTGATATTTTGGCTTCGATGTTGGTCAAATGTTATGTTAAAAACTGCGACGCAGCCGTCTGCCGCTAGCCCGGGCTTTAGCTCCAGTAAATGAGCCTGCTCCCCCGGCTCTACAACCAGGATGTTAATAAGCACAATGAACAGATAGGATCTCAAAGGAGTAGCTCTGTTTGGCAGTTTTTTCAGACTCACTGTTTGTAGAAGCCTCCTGTGGTTGCGTGTTGTGGAAGGAGGCACTGAGGCGAGGACTAGCAGGTGGCACAGGGTTCACAGGCTCTGCAGCAGAAGGTGCTCCTGCTTCACCCCGCTCAGCCCCCTCTTCCTCGTCAGACTCGCTGACCTCGGTGGTGCTGCCAGACTCCGGCTCCGCCACAGTGGCAGCAGGCACTCGGAGCAGGAAGTCGGGGAAGCCTCTGGAGGGCGCTGCAGTCTGGCTCGGGTAGTGCACCCTGAGGCCCTGCCTGAAGAAGCACACAGCTTTAACATCGCAGGAAGTGAGTTACCTTCCTGATAAAACACAACCAAACAAAGATATGTTTTAAGTACCTGAGCCTCCTCCGTATAGGCACGCCCCGAGCTGCTGAAGATGTGGCTGCAGCTCCGCCCACAGCTCTCTGACTAAACGCCCAGGTGGCTGGAAGCCGGGGCGGAGCACCTGCAGGCGGTCCTCCTTCACCGTCTTCATCGTCATCCTCGTCCACCTCTGTACTGCTGCCAGAGTCTGTGATGACGTAAGGCACGTTGGCTTCCACAGCTGCTGCAACAACTGGCTGCTGACCACCTCCTCCCTGCAGCTCCACGGGGAAGTCTACCTCCATGGCCTCCATCTGTACAGCAGAGAAACACTTTGTTTGATGTCGGCAAGTAGATTTGACGAATTGGTTCGTCTTCTGCAGCCATTTATCTCACACCAGCGTACACACAATATGCTTGTAGAGGATTCAACCCAGCAGACCAATCACAGGGCTTACAGTCTGCGTCATTTCTAGGCATAGTTACATTTTTGAGGGGCTACGAGAACCTAGGTCATGGATTCGACACAGTTGTATAAATCAGGCTACATTTTTGTACATTGTACATTTTTATACCAAAGTCCCACCCCCATCTCAGTTTTGTTCTTGAAAGCCTGACAGTATCTAGTTTGCCTTTAAAAAAATATTTTGGCAAAACTCTTGGGCATCATCATCAGTTGAAACCACAGTTTGACAAAGATAAAAAAACAGCAAATAATAAAAAAACAGCAAATAATGACCCCAAAGCATACATTTTCATATGTTGCATTAGACTAAATGTTTGCACAGGTACATTGGAATTGTTGTGAATTTACTTCAGAGTCAGCTCTACAAAAAATTATAAGAGGTACATCAAAAAAAAGAGCACACACACACACACACACACACACACACACACACACACACACACACACACACACACACACACACACACACACACACACACACACACACACACACACACACACGATTTTGTGGTATAAAATGTAGTTTTTGAAGGTTGTTATTATTGTCTTAGCATATTAAAACTTTACCCATGCTGCTATTTAATCACTTGGTTGTTATGGGTGAATCTGCCCAGGGTCACTGCTTGTCAACAGGCAAGGCACGCAAATGTTTGGGGGCCCCAGAGGGCTGAAAAACAAAGCAGCAACCCAAATGTGCAAATTTTGCAGTGACAGTAGGAAACCTCCCTAAAGGGGGCCCCATCTGACTGCATTCACTCTCATTGCACTTCTTAACGCTGGTGGGAGAGCCCCCCGAATTACCTTTTGCCTACGGCCCCAACAGACTGCAGAGTCGCCACTGAGTCTGAATGACCCGTCATTTACTCCGCTGCCAGTCGGCGCGTTCATCGGATAAGAACCGAACTCGAGACCGAGGAGGTAAACGAGGCCTCCAGGCAACAACAGAGCCGTCTGTAATCTAGCTGCATGAAATCAATTCAAACTTCAATGACCGCTATTTATGCTTGTCAGTGTGCTAAAAACGGTACAGACCAACATAAATATAAATGTCTAAATATCAAACATGTTATGATTTGGTTGTTGATCCCTTGGTAACCACCGACTCGTGAGCTAAAAGAAGCTTCAGCGACTCACATTCAGTGTAATGAGTTAAATTACTGATTAATACAAGGTCAGACGTGTTGAGCTCACGCTGATATTAGCCAGGGTTGTAATTAAATGCCGTAAATGAGCCATCTTGGTTAGCTCGTCAGCACAGCTAGCTTAGCTCTGCCCTGCAGCAACAAGCAGCGCGCGCGGTTGAGAAATCCTACCTGAACGGTTTAACGACAGGTGATCCCGCTCCGGAAGATCAAACGACGTAACGCCATGGCTACAAATATGCACGTGAAACGGCTCCGGTTGTGGTAGGTGTGCGGGTTACTTCCAGGGCTCACAGAGGAGTGTTAAAGCAGTCCGGATCAGGGTCGAGGCTCGAATCTCCCGGCGCCAGTTCACTCTGCCCCGCCCCCATCCTGCCGTGACGTCACAGCCGAAGATCGTTTGTTGGGAGGATGGATCACATGCAGCCTAAAGTCTTGAATCAACATTAACCTAAGGGGAATGTCTGCTACTATGAGATCGTGCATGATGACCTGAGTAAAGCAAAAGACAAAAAGTGGTAATTTTAAGAGTCCTCAGGATTCCTACATCATGTCTATCTCCTCCCTATATTAAGGCTAGGTTGAAATATGTCCTGCCATGCTTTTCATCTTTCCTGTTTGGTCATAATACACAAGTAAGCCTATTTGTAGTGCCCTCATAATTTCTTTCCATACAAATGTTAATGAATATTTAATGATGTCATCTCTATGCTGCACTCACTTGTCAGTAAAGACAACATTAAGGGCAGTAAGAGGTAAGCAGGACCCAGTTTAAATTTACATATGCAGCAAGGTGGTAGAAGGGAGCAGTACTGGTATGACAGATGAGTGGTACATGGGTGGTGCATGGAGCTGGCCCCCTGGCGGCATGCCATCAGCCATGGCACAAGCTGTGAAGTCACGTTGCACTTCACTGTTCCCCAAGTGGCATACCATATGCCACTTTTACACCAGGTGCATTTCTACACGATCAAATAAAAGAAAGTCCTTGTCTTATTTGCCATATTTCATCGACATGTTTTTATCCTGCTTTGCCTTCTTTTATCCTTATATCATCAGAAAATGTCAATTAATTGTTCTGTAGACAGTTAAAGCCAGAATAAAAATGTTGTGGTAAAAAAGAATGGACCATAAACACTTGGAAAGTTCTCGAGCAGAAGACAACGTTGAATCAATATTTTTGAAATGTTGAAAAGGATTTCCGTCTTGTGATTTTCAGTAAAGGAAGAAGAAATGTAAAGGCATGTTTATTATTTTTGTCCTGCATATTTTTGCATGTAAACATCATCAGTGATAATACAACACACAGGCTGAAAATGTCAACATGGTAACAAAAAGGCTAAACTCAAACATCAAACGTGACTTTACATGACATTTAATGATGGTATTTGACACCAAATTTGACACAACAGCCTGCAGAATATGCTCTAAAACAGTGTTTCTCAAACTTTTTAGACTGTGTACCACCTCCGAAAATATTTGGCTCTCCAAGTACCACCATTATGGTAGATGTTAAAATACACTGTAGGCCTATTTCAACACACATGTCACGCAAGAGGCAAATTTATTCATAAACAGAATATTATTTAATATTGACTGTTGGCAGCCACACTGTAGGCCTACTAAGGGCTAGCGCTAGAACTGGCACTTAAACTAACACAACTCAACATTTGACCAAATCAAAAAAAAGTGCAAAACAATAAAAATCACAACTTTATACCAACAACCTGTTTTAGAATATTTAATCTCCAGTGTTTCCCACACAAACACGATACCTGGGCCCATGTGTATTTCCGACCTGTTCTTATTTAATTTTTCATTTATTCATAAACTTGCTGCGTGCCTGAGAGAGAGGGAGGGAGGGGGGAGAGAGAGAGCGGGGGGAGAGAGTCTCTCCCCCCGCTCTCTCTGGTGTCACAGAGCTCCACAGGCTCTGTGACACCAGAGCCTCTGTATTATAAGTCTCTGCATTCAACATAGCAAAACTGCCTTTAAAAAAAAAAATCCCTCTCGACTCCTGCGGAGTGTTAAGACAACAAAAGAGAGCAGAATCACAGAGAGAGAGAGAGAGATAGAGTATAGGTATAGAAGATAGGTATTCTGATATTTGTAAACCTAGCCTATTTTGTTGATTTGGCTGTAAACAGGGGGGGATGTAGGCCGGTAAAGTATGGAACAGTACGGTACTTCATACAGATTCATTTTATTACAGCCTGTTTGATGCTGCAGGCTGAAGCAATCTACCAAAGCACATCCAGATCTTTTTCTTTGCATTAGTTTTGATCAACATGTAAAAACTGTTGCATATTCGAGATTAATCCTTGGTTTGAGAACCTATAAGTAATCATAAACACAATCTTATCTGGCCTTCAGTGCCGTGTAAACTCTTCTTGTGTGATTTTCAGCACATAACACACAATGTGATGACTCGATGACTCCTCCTGAGGACGATCACAAACCCTGAGTATCGCTCACTGACAGTTTTACTGCTCCTCTAACTGCGCCACCACGCAGCGTAGTTTATCCACCAGCACTGCAGAAGACAGAGACAACAACAGAACATGCATTGTTATTATTGTTTACAGTCCGTTTTCTACAAATTACAATATCATCAAAATTGGAAAAAGAAAGAAAGAAAAGCAGCAATGGTAATGCAGTATCTTTCAGTAGTCAGTAAGCACTGTTATCTTTTTAACTGGACTGGAAAGAGCACACGACACCACACTGTTCATCTCCCTGCTCACATCAAATTTAGAACAAATTTAGAAATTTACACTCTCTCAGTCAGGTCTGTACTTCCTCCCGCCCACTACAGCTCATTGTTTCAGACAGCGGATAGCGACTTTCCATTAATTTCCTATGGAGAGCCAGAGAGGCAGTGGCACAGGGCATATTGGGATTGTTGCAACGAGTTTCCGGAGGGGCTCCACCGGACATAAATAGACCAGAGTTCTTTTCACACAAATGATTCCATGGTCTGCCCGGATTCAACACGCATTTATCAAATCAGGTTCATTCATTGAGGCTACGTTAGCTATTGCGTAACCTACAGTGAAAAACTTGACTATCAATGTTGGCTAGAGAGGTCCAGGAGACAATCGGAAACAAGCTCACTTTTCAGTGGACATACGTCCATCAAGCAGGGAGTTGAGTGCTCCGACTTGATCCCTAGTGTCCTCGCCTGAAGCAGTGGAGCCCTAAGGTCAGTCCCTAACTAGACTCTTCTCCTCTGTGCCCCCCCCCCCCCCCCCTCAATTTTTACAGCAGAAATACACTTATAAGGATTTGCTCAAAAAGCCGTTTTGTTCTGAATCAATCAAATCTCTGTTGGTAGAAACCAAAGAGTTTATATTAGTTATGATATCTCAGTGGTTGTGTGTTTTTTACCTCCAGCAGACGGTCTCAGAAAGCTGTCGTAGGCCCGACATGCGTCGATCAGATTTCCCAGTGGTTCAGGACAGTCGTCAGGGAGCGGCTCCACAAACTTGTCTTTGCACACTTTTTGATAAATGTCCTTACTCGACCAACCTGGAAGAGAAATGGGAAAACATATCAAACAAATGTAAAGACATACACACATCAAACATTCATATATGAAAAGTAACACACATTAACACCATTCTCAGTTCTCTCTTCTCCCTCTTAAGGCCACCATACCAAAAGTAAAATCTAGATTTGTGTTCCTGTTTCTGAGGTTAAGTTAATGATATAACTTTCAATCTACCAGAGGTTCCTTAATTTCAGGTTTGTATCCAACCAGTAAGTTAAGTAGCCCTAGCTTAAGGCCCCTTGTGTCCACCTAACGTTTTTTCCGGGCAGAAAAGCGCTGGCTGTGCGCTCTGGAGTGCTCCGTTACTTTAAACTGCATGTTTCTTTATTTTAGATTATAGTTTATTTCCCGATCAGACACGGAGCAGAGAGGATTTGGGTACAAGACACGATCTGTAGGTGGCAGAACTTCAAAGATATCATACTTTTGGACAAATACAAAAAAGGTCTGAACATAGTCCTCTTACCTTAATTTGCATATTTAAAGGTCACTACTCCTCCTATTCAACCAGTGTAAATAAACCTCAGAGCTCCCCAAAACATGTGTGTGAAGTTTCTGTTTCGCTTTGAATATTCAGAAGACTAGAAAAGCACTAAACAAGTCCATTTACCATTTAAATTAAAGGAATGACCATAAAAGATACATAGATGATACACACCATCAAAAGGTCTCTTGCGGGTTGCCACCTCCCACAGGACGATTCCAAAACTGAAAGACAACGACAAAATAGAAAGAACATTTTTTAAATATTTTCTTGACTTTCATGTCCTTTAGAAATGTGTTAACCTTTTAGTTGCCTTGTTTGATGTTTTGAGCTTCATTGTGCATGATCCCACCATCACAGCTATTCTTATATCTATTATTTATCTGCATAAAACTTCAATTTCACTTCGACGTACAGGGATACAGGGATGCTGCTGCAAACATTCTAAAAATATACTGTTTACTAAGCAATTTCAAAATGTATTTCTCTAACTTAAAGGAAGAATGTGTGACTTTTTGATCCAGTAGATGTTGCCCCGTCACAGAATGACGGTGATCTAAAAAACACTTCTTCTCTCTAGTCCTTGACCAAAACAGCTTTTATACACAAGGGGAGGAGCTGGCCATCCCGTCCATGTAAACACAGCTTGACAACACCACAG